ACCGCAGGCGTGGGGGAGGTCTACAGACGCTGCCCAACTTGCCTGAATAGCGCTCTGGTAACGCTGCTCCCAATGTTGCAGGAGAGAGAGAGAGCCCTGCTCTCCTGGAAAAGCACCTGCCCAGATCCTGGGAGAGTACCTGCCCAGATCCTGGGAGCTGCTTGAAACGAGGAAAAATGGTACTGAAGATCGCTGGTGAGTGTTATCTAACAGAAGCTTTCAGAGACACAGCTATTGACTGAAAGGAGCTGAGTCAAAAGCTGGGGTCTCTTCCGAGGGCTGGCTTATCTTAGTGCAGACTCAGCTAAATGACGTCATAGGAAGGAGTCAACCCTTCCTGGGCTCTCGATGCAGCATGGAGGAGAATAACAATGTTTAAGCTGTTGGTTCCGTTGTTGCCTATTGGATTATTATTTTTTGTTTTAATCGCTCTCATTGCAAACTTTTCTCATTGCCTGTTGGATGAAAAGTAAAAGTCAGCCTGTATATCAAATCATCTGATCTAATTTTGTGGTACAAAAATGAAGGAATAGGGCTTTTTTCCCAAGTTCCTATTATTTTCTATTTTTATAGAAAATGTTTGCTCTATCTGAAAAAAAGTATCTAGAGTTTTGTTTGGATGTAAAGCTCAAAACAAGTTTTGTCTTTTTTCTCCTTTATGCACACCATTATTTCCTGATTATTTCAAGTTTCACCCAACTCAAGGTAGGTTTGATGCAACTTGCTAAGTCAATCTAGAATTGATTGCATCTGAATCACATGGCGCTACGTTGCTCCCATTTTAAAACATTCATGGAGACACGGTCCTCTATTTAAAAAACTATATCATTGTGTGAACATGATACCACAAAACATAGGAAATGTGTTCAGTTCCTTGTACTTTCCAGTTAATTGGTGCTATAGCTTACAGCTAAAAACCAACAGTGGACCATTCTTGATTGCAATATTTAGCCTGAGATCTATGTTACCTGAACAACATTTTAAAGATTTGCTTCCCCACACCTCCATTCTTCACAAAGCAAATGCATAAAATTTGCTTTGCTGTCACGTCATATTTGATTTTGCACCTAAAATACTTTTCCATGTCTCAGTGGATTAAAAAAAGTTTCCATAATTGGTACATTCTGATGAAATACATGCACAGTAAGTGTAAAACTTAAATGTCTTGGGATGGAAAAAAACTTGGTACACTGAAAAAAATAACACAAAAAGAGAAAATACCTGATTTTTTCCTTTCAGCATAAGAATGTTGGTTACCTTACCAAAAGGTAAGCCCAAAGCAATAACTTCTGTTTCTGTCACTTCTCCTGGTAATTTCCTGATATGAAGAACACGAGAAGGAGTCCCATCCATTTTATCTTCACCCTTGAATTTCTTGTTGTCGTTACCATTGGCTGTAAGACATTTTTGAATTAATTTCATATCTAAAATTTAATTATAAATTCAGAGAAAACTACACTAAGTATACGCACGTTTTCAAATTAGTATATAAACAGTGAATTTGAAATCTTTTAATTAAATGTTGAAAAAAATAAAAACTACATCTAATAAATTACAGACCCAAGCAGACCAAAACAAATCAGAAAACTCTAGCATGACAGCATACAGAAAAAGGGAAGACATACTTGCATAGTTTCCATACTAACAATCTAAAGCAAAAATCAGTTTATAATGAGTGACGATTATTTTCTGTATTTGGATTATCAAACAATTCTCATGTGTTGAGTCACATTGATGTGTCATGAACATAGTGTATACCTCTCAAAATTATCTACCCATCCCATTAGCAGGAGATGCTGTCTGTAGGATTTCTTTATAATTTACAGCTATATGTTTTCTTATAATCAGCTTTCACTGACTGCTCCACAGAATATGAAGTTATGCTTCATCCCTGTTTGGAGTGTGAGTTAGACCACCTCAGTCCAAACTCCACACAACATAATTGCATTTTTTTAAAAAGTAAAAGCTCCTACTGAGTTTTTGCATGAATCACTACCATTTATTGGCCTATTCTACTAATTAAACAGGGGAAAGTACTTTGGCTATAAATGTGAAATTGGTGTTCTATTTTAATTTGAAAAATCTGGAACAATTCAGCCAAAATATAAAAATATATATTACAAAATATAAAAATATATAAACTTAAAAGTTGTCAGGAAACATAATTTAAATCCATGAAAATCTTATTTCATTCTCAACAGTGATAACATAATACACCAATTACTTTAGTCAGACACTTAGATTGTACCAGATGTTTAAGGGTTTTGCTCAAGATTCAAATGCATACTTTCAAGAGATTATCTGATTTATGTACTAAGAAAAAGAACATGATCATAATTAGGATGTAATGAATGTCTATGGGATTGTGGATGCACTATCTATGCAATGGTGGCATAGGTTGGACTTAAAGGGTTTGCAAATGTACTATGCATACTGCCACTAAACTTGTAGGATAAAATGGTATCAGATGCCAAATTGGATGCTAGTGTGCTGAAAAATGATACTGGGTCCGGATAGTAGTGACCATATTTAGCAATGTTGGGCATATATCAGGGGGAAGGGGGGAATTCATTAGACCATTAAAAATAGTCCCACAGTGCATATACCTTCTTTTAATCCATTGCTCCAGCCTTGTACACAGATGACAAAATTACTGATGATAGTTTAGTGTTCAATCCAGAGAGCAATTTTTATTTGATTTCATGATCTCAAGATTTGACCTTCCATGTTTCAGGTTTTGTACAAGTCACAATGCTACAGATAGGAAGGACAGGAAGTTATGAGAATTTGGACAATGCTACTTTGGATGAGTTTGGATGAGAATTTGGACAATGCTACTCTGGATGAGAAAACAGATTGTAAAACATGAGTTAAAGCTGGTGTACAAAATGACCTGCAGAAGATCATGGACCACATTTTTGGATTGTGAGTTCAGCCTTGTGAGATAGTCCAGACAAGAACAATACTCAGATGAATAAATTCTACTCTTTTATAAGGTTACATTAACAGAATCTTGCCAAGTCTCAAAATAAAGTTGTTCCCCATTGCTGCTAGTTTCTGTAAGGGCCTAAAGGGTCCTTCTGAGAATATTTGCCATGGTTATATTTCTTCTGCAAGCTTAGCTGTCTCTTATCTCACTGTTCCCTTGGTTATGGTTCTTTTCACAATCTCTCAAGATCATTTCCACATTCTATTACATGCCATCTCCTAGGCTTCTGGTTCTGGTGAATTTTAATCTCCATCCTTAAGAATTGGCTTGGGGATGATTTGCAATTTTATGGTCTATCAGCCCCATTATCTATACCACTGTGAAAGTATGAGCAAGGAAGGTTACTTTATTATAGTAGTTATAGAAACAGAATCTTGCAAGCCTGATTATGCTTTACACACCTACACCAATACTCATGACAAATTAAAGAAGTATCAATCTGAGCTATTTCTTCATCTCTTTGGGATTGTTTTTGGGTTGAGTCACATTTCTTCCCCCATCACTCTGGGAATGGTGTTCATGAAGATCCTCTTCTTTAATTTCTACACAGACTTACTTGTAACCATGTTACCTGTGTTGGTAAACTCAACTATAACTTCTGAAAACAGGCAAGGACTGGATTTAGTTTTTATTTCAGTGAGATGGGATCTACATATGGAGGACTTTGACATGTATCTGCTATTGTCAGATCATTTTTGGTCAGGATGTATTCTAGCAAATAAATGCTGATGTTTTTCTGAAGGCATTCAGGTAATTTCCTGACAATTTGGTGGATAGTTTCATCCTATAGTTGATCAGTTTCTGCTAGAGAGACAACTGGAGCACTGGATAAGATTATTCCTGTGAGGCTTCGTCCCTGTCACAATTCTTGAGCAACTCCATGCTTTGCAGGAGACCTATAGGAGATAGAATGAAAAACTGCCAAGACTGGCATACGATTTAAAATGCAGGTTTAAGCCTACATAATAGTGATAAATGCACTCTTCCTGTGTATCCAAATTTTCATTTGAAGCCCTCTTCAGGATTACTCTGATACTCTAGAGCAAGAATGAAGGGAGAAGATATTTGCAAATCATTCAAATAATTCTGCAGCTTTCTCTACAGAAACCTACACAAATTATACATTTGTGTCTTGATGCCATTTGTGTCTTGATGCCAGGTAGGGTGAAGGAGACAAATATTACCTTGTTTTAAATGCAAGAAGTAGATAGAGTATTCTGTAATATGAATTCTGTCACCTATGATTTGGATAAATGCCCTTATGGACAACCAGGCAGGACATATTTAGCTGGATTTAGGATAGGGTTAACATTTCTGTGAAGAAAAGTGTGATGCCATTGCTGTGAAAAAGACAGTGGTGTGCTCTTCCTTGAAAAGGACACACTAGATGGGAAGGTATGCCATGCTAGGTCTCTTCAGAGCTGGTGGCAATTAATTATACCATCAACTATAGCAGAATTCTGAATCACCTGCATGGAAACCCTTTTCAAAACAGCATTTAGCACTCATTGGATAACTTTTAATTATTTCAACACCATGGTTTTTATCAAATGATGGTTATTTTAGTGGGATGTTTTATGACAGTGTTTTATTGTAAATAACCTAGAATCATGTTAATGAGTGATGCAAAATTGTTATAAATCTATAATAAAACAATAGCTGCTAGAAACTGATACTGATGATTCTAAAGAAAAACACCAACAAGAAATAAGTATTTTGATTAGAAAATGGGACAAAAATTGTCATGCTATAGACAACCACTAGTTTGTGTGCATGCATGTTTCTCAAAAATAATCTGATTGCTGAAATAAACATGCTGCCATAAAAACCAGAATCCTGTCCATAACCTGGTTTTAAAATTTGTGCAGAATGCACATTTAAAAAGAAATAAAACAAATGTGTAATGATTAAGTATCATCAGTTATAGTATTAATCTTCATAGCTGCATGCAAGCTATCTCTAGAAAGCAGCATGCCTATAAATTTAAACTGTGGAAGAAAAATAGGTATTCCTCCCATGTTTTGCTGTGGACCACCCACAGTTATCTTACTGACCACAACAGGAAACAGAATGTTGGACTTGATAAGCCTGTAGTCTGATCTGCCACACACCTTTAAAGCAGGGGTGGGATACGACAGGGTTAACTACTGGTTCGGGATTTACGAGCTTCCTTGCAGGCTGTGAGCCCGGCGCCTGTAAATGGTCATCAGCATGCTATGTGCAGAGAAGCAGCCTTTGAAACAGCCTCTTTTCCTGCTTTTTAAACTGCAGCTGAAGTTGAAAAATCAGGAAATAAAGATCAGGTAAGAGCCCAGGTGGGTGGGTGGGCAAAAACATCAGCAGACATAGAACCGGTTCTATGTCTGCTGTTCTTCAGAGCTACCGGTTCTACAGAGGTGGACAGAACTGGTAGAAACCCACCTGTGCTTTAAAGTAATAGATATATTGCAAAATATACTTCCTCTGAAGGAATATGATTATATAAAATTTGCAGCATGGTTTGATATATGTCTCTTTTTGGTCTTCTACATTATGTGACTATGTTTAAAAATGGGAGGAAAGATTTGTTCCATTTGGGTCTGAGGTAGATAGTGTACAAGCAATAGAGGCTCCTGCTTTTAAATCTGCATTGGGAAAAATATATATTATATGAAACTGGATGAAGCAGAAGAGCTTATTTTTCAGTGATCTCTTTCAGAAAAGGAACAGTCCAAATGACAAAAGTGCTTTAAGTGTTGTAGCTTTCAAAAAATAACAAAAATAAAAAAACAGAATGTCTTCTGAATCCCTGAGCTGATATATTTATGAGTATGTCCTAATTCAACTTGATATTATAGGGATAAAATAACTAAAATTCAGAATGAGTGTCTGCAAACTACTCTGAAGCAGGATACCTAAACAAAAAGAGGCACCACAATCCTACTCCGTTTCTTTCTTGGTTTTTTCCAAATTTCCAGGTTGGCCAAGAGCTCAAGCAAAGCAACACCCCCAGAATTTATCCCAGGATAAGCTCAAGTTTATGAGCTTATCAGTTTTTACTTTTAATAAACACGTTTCTTTTTAATTGATCATACCATTTTACTTTTTAAAACACTTGCACAGAAAATTCCATCGCATTCTACAGGCCGAAACATGCAATATTTAATCCACTAAAGGAAGCTGACATAGAGCTTCTTCTTTCCTATATATGATTCAAAAAAAAGATATAAACATTGAAGCTATACAATCCCCTCGCTCAAGAACTCTCTTACTATCAAACTCATTCCAAATCTTTTCCTCACATTGAGTTTGTTAGAAAAAGAGAAGATCTGCTTCTAATCCATAAAAGCTTACATTTCCTAAATAGGATTTAATGTGAAATATAACCTATTACCTATTTTTAAAATGTTTAAACTTTTTGGATTGACATGCTCTTTGGTAGGATTCCATCTACACATATGTAACTTTATACAAAATCTGACTAGTCTTAATGCAGGAAGACAGCATACTGATGATATTCAACTTTGCATTTCCAACCCTGATGATCCAAGTCTTGCTGTCATGGTGCCTGGAGGCTGTGGAGACCTGGATGGGGGATTATCAGCTTCAACTGAACTCTAGTATGATTGAGTGTGTGAAGCCTCAAAAATCTGGGTGTTTAACATATTTAGTCTTGATGGGATACTGGCCCAGATAGACCCTGTGTGCAACTTCGGAGTTTTCCTAACTAGAACTTGTGCTCCAGTTGCACAATATCCTGGATTGTGAGGCCCTGCACTCATGCCCTGATCATGTTGGATTTGGACTACTGCAATGTACTCAACGCAGTGTTACTCTTTAAGAAAACAGTACTTGGAATTTATGGCTAGCACAGAAGGCAACTGTACAGACAGTTCTAAAGGCACCTGGGATGGCCATCTAACATTAGTGCATTGGCAGCTAGTTTGTTTCCAGGTTCAATTCAAGATGTTGGTTATCACCTTTAAAAGACCTTCATGAAATAGGATCAGGCTACCTGAGGAAACTCTCAACCCAATGAGATTGGCCCACCTCACTCACTCTAGAGAAGGGTCATGCTGCAGATCCGGTGAAGAAACTTTGGCTGCCCTTTTTGTCTGTGCCTTCTGCCCTTTGGAACATCATGCCATTGGAGGCGAGATCTGTCCCCACCCTTTTGGGCTTCTGAAAGGGCCTCAAAACCTGGCTTCACTGATCAGCTTGGGATCCTGATGGGGGCTGCCCACTCCAAACATGGCTAGTGAACTAAGAAAAAATATCCCACTTTGATCCTGCTCATGTACTGGTTCCTAGTTTTACCTAGTTTCTGTAAATTTTAATGTTTCTCACATTTTAATGTTTTTATGTTACTGTTTTTATGGTGGTAATAGCTGCCCACAATCACTCAATAGTGAGATGGGTGATGCATAAATTTCATAAACAAAAAGGATCAAACAGGGATCAAGTTAAGAACCTCAGAATCAATGCCCTAGATCAGGCCTGTCCAACTGGTGGCCCGTGGGCCGGATATGTCATGTGCAGGCCACACCCACCTGTTCTGCAAAGGCAAAAAACATCATGATGCATCACATGATGCAATCAAGTTTGACACCCATGCCCTAGATTCAGTTATAATCTATTAGTGATAACTGATAAAACTTGTCTTAAGAAGAAATTGATTTTATTGGGACTGAGGTGATACTTTCCTTCCCATTTCTCTTACAAGTTTAGGGAGAAAGCTAAATATTTCAACCTGGTCTTGAAGATACCTAGCTTTCAAAGATGTTCCTGTTTAATCATACATTTTGGAATATGTCCAGTGGCTTGACTGCATGAAGACAAGTTCTAATGAAAATACCAAATAAGAATGAACAGAAAATGATTTTTATTCTCTGCTATTATGAGAACATATTATTATAAAGAATGAACCAACAGCAAAATCAGTAAGATTATTTTATAGAAATAATTTGATTTGTTGCAATTTTATGAATTTTTTATGATTTTTTTTCTTTTTTAAAATAAAAAATAAAAAAAGAATCACACAATTACATTTTCCTGAATAAAATAAAATAATTATCATTTTTATATATGTATCGAATTCCTCCATTGTTAAGTATTCTTATTTCAAGCACTATTTTTAAGTAATAATAAATAAATAAATAAAAATTACTGAATGGGTGTGAGGTGCATTATGCGATTTATCGGGACGCTAATTGATGATATTAAAATGTATCCTTTGAGACAGGATATATGCTCTAAAAATGAATGTAATTCCCAAGATCCTTTACATTTTGCATGTGTACATATCCAGGAAATATTTTTAAAAACTCATACATTGTATGAGTACAATTGTACATTTTGTGGGTTTCCTCAATTCCAAAGACACCTTTGAAAAAGATGCAATTTCAATTATTTTTCCAATAATTGAGAATATAAGAATACCTTTTAAAAAATTCATAAAGAAAAGGAATAAGTAAATCATTGTGTTAGTAGAGATGCAAACAGAATAACAGTTCATTAAATATCTGTTTCAATGGTCTAAAATAACTAAGTTCTGGGAGCTTGCAATCACATATATACTGCCCACAGTTGCACTGAGAGGGAGATGGATAGCCTCTAAATTTGTTAAATAAAATATATGGATTTGATTTTGAAATGAAATTTAATACTTTCAGATTAGACATTATTTTTAATGATATAGCTACAACATGGAAACTGGCAGGTAGACAACATAGATTGCCTGTGCCTTTACTACCTATGCCAATATGCACTGTTGCCTGCAGTCAGGGAGATGAGCTGCAATTTTTAAAATATTGTGACCAAATTTCTGGGGCATTAGGTAAAACTGCATTCTTCACCAACATCCTAATGACACTGCCATTCGTGATCTGTGACTGTATATTCTTTTGCCTAAATCCAACTCATACTATAGTTAATCTGGTCATCCCACTGGCTACTAACTGAAGATACACTATGGTTCCTCAAGCTGAGACTTGGCAAAAGCCAGAGGAGATCTTGGGAAAACTAGGGAGCTTAATGCAAATTTCCAAGAGCAGGTAAGAAAGATATACAGTATATCTGACTCAGAATGGAGAGAGAAAAACATTCAGGAAAAATAGGGGAGAACAAAATCATGTAATTTAATATTAGGTGGATGACAGAAACTGCAAGTAAATATCAAAAAGAACTCAACTTCTATTTTATAGAGTATTTTGTGTACATTCCTGAAATATCTCAAAATCTAAAATACGTCCTATTAATATACAACTTTAACGGCATCTAATGCTAGCATATTAGAGAGGCAGTTTGGTGTAGGGCTTAACCAGGTGAGAAACCATGAGTTCTCGTTCTGCCTTAGGCATGACGCCAACTGGGTGACCTCAGGCTAGTCACACACTCTCAGTCTTAGGAAGCAGGCAATGCAAACCACTTTTGAAATCTTGACAGGAAAATTACAGGGCCTTGTTTAGGCAGTCTCCAGGAGTCATGCCTGACTTGAAAGCACAAAGAAGAAGAAGAAAAACCACATAATCCCAACATATACAACCAGAATGAAACAAGTATCCCTGTGCAGATCACTGACCAATCAGATTATCTACTTATTTATAAGTATGCCATCCCAGAATACCTTCTTTCCTTATTTTATTATATTCTACCGGTAGTTTCAGTTCATTTGTACATTACTTTCCTGGTAAAAAGTCCAAGGATAACTTAAAAACTAAAGTTAAAAGTTTAGTTTTTAGTTAAAAACTAAAAGAAATTCTAATACTACCTGTCAAATATAGGATAAATAGAAGCACTAAATAAAATGAAAAGATACCTTAATGTATAATTAAGGAAATTAATGCATAATTAAGGAAAACACTAAGATTTCAACACATTAATTATATAGTTGCTAGATGATCAAGCAAGAGATTATTTGAGTATTTGAAAAGGCTGGGCATTTGTCCTTTTAACATTATTTGCAAAACTTACATAATTATTCAAGGGCATAGTATAAGGCTTTTTTTTAATCGCACATTTAGTATATCCTTGGATGTGGCAGAAAAAATAGAACAGAAATATTGCAGTAAAAAGGATAGAAGACTAACAGGTTTGGAGAGGGTGAAGGAAAATAGGTAAATTTCAATATTAATTTTCTGCAATACAGGTAATTCTTGACCTACAACTACAACCGAGCCCAAAATTTCTAAGTGAAACAATTACGTGAAATTTACCCCATTTTACGACAGTTCTTGACAGTTGTTAAGTGAATCACTGCAGTTATTAAATTTGTAAAAGGACTGTTAAATGAATCTGGCTTCCCCACTGACCTTGCTTGTCAGAGTGTTTTAAAAGGTGATCACATGACACTGGGACATGGCAACTGTTTTAAATATGAGTCAGTTATACCAAGCATCTGACTTTTGATCACATGACCATGGGAATGCTGTAATGATCTTAAGTGTGAAAAACAGTCATAAGTCACTTTTTTCCATTTGTTATCCTGCCATAAAACATGCAGAATGAAAGATTTGTCCAATTTATTTATTTATACACATATATACACAAACACGCACATCATGTGAGTTTAGTTCAGGCATTTATTGCTGGCTTTGTTTTGTTTTTAAAGTTTAATGCGTCATTATTCAAAAGGCATCATGAACATTCTTTCTGCCATATATTTTAATCTATTCTGCAAGATGGATATATTTTGATATTCAAATAAAAATGATCCTTTAAAATGCATCACTTACCAGTAACTACTATGCTGCTCATATTAGAGTTCGGGCTATTGAGTACACTGCCTGAAAGAAGTTCGTCAGATCCTCTCTAAGAAAGAAAGAAACAATAAGTTTGCCATCAAAAAATAGAAAATTGCTATTAATAATGTCAAAATGACATTAAGTGAAAATCTAAAGCAAGGAAACTATTTAGAGAGTTATTAATTATTTTCACTAAACTTTCTGGTATCCTTTTAAAATATCTTATTTACATCTATTTTTATTCAGTTACAATAATCTCTTCAGGTGAGACTAAAACAAAAGTTACTTATCCAAATCCCCATGAAAATATCAGGTGAGAGATCTAAATTACAAACATCCCATTTGAAAAATGAGAAGCAACTAAATTATCAGAGCGGTATTTCCTAAAGTAGTGAAAGCCCTTTAAGTTGTAGATATATGGTGTTTTTAAGTTTGCAAACCCTTTTGAATTTTCAGTATTTCAATGTTTTTCAATATTTCTGCATAAATATGTCCTAAAAGGTGATCTGTTCATCACACTGACCCTAAAATTAGACAGAGAACCAAATTAAACCAATGAGTCAAGAACATACTTATTCACTGATTTATTGAGGAAAATGGTGAAAATGACTATCTTCTGCTTTAACCATTCTTTGGTTGTATGACATGTGCTTTTAGTTGTCTTGAATGACTCAGTTTCTCTTGAACATCAATTCACAGACAGACACCCTGACACTTTCCTGTAGAACTTGCTGATACAATTCAGAATTTATAGCTCTATCAATGAGGGCAAGCTGTCCTGGTCCAAAGACAGCAAAGAAGGCCCAAAGCAGGACAATGCCACCATGTTTCACAGATGGGATAAAGCAGGGGTCCCCAACCACCGGGCCGCGGACCAGTACCGGTCCGTGGATCATTTGGTACCGGGCCGCAAAGAAAATAAAAATAAAATAAAAATGGCGGCTTTCTTTGCCTTCGGTGAATGCTGCTGGGATCAGGGATCAAGGACACAAATGAAAGAAGGGGAGGGAGGAAGCAACCAAAGCCCGTCCTGCTCTCCGGCTCCGGTTTCCTCCCGCCTCGTTCCTCTCTCAGTCACTCTCTCGCTCCTCCACCAGCCCAGGAAGAAACTGCTTCAAAGAAGCCGGCAGGGTGGCTTTTCCTGTCAGTGCAGCTCCTCCGAAGCACCCGTTCACCCCCATCCCGCTGCCCACGGTTCAATCCAGTGCTCCGTTCTGCCTGCCTGACTTCGTTTCTGGTTGTTTTGGAGTAGCTTTGGCTGAGAATAATAACTATTTGCCTCTTTTACTCAGCCGAAGCTGCTCCGAAACAACCAGAAATGAAGGCAGGCAGGCAGGCAGAACGGAGCACTGGATTGAACCGCGGGCGGTGGGGAGGGGGTGAACGGGCGATTTGGAGGAGCTGCGCTGACAGGAAAAGCCACCCTGCCGGCTTCTGTGAAGCACTTTCTTCCTGGGCTGGTGGAGGAGCGAGAGAGTGACTGTGAGAGGAATGAGGCAGACACCTGAGGGATAAGACAGAGGGAGGGAGGGAGGGAGACACCTGAGGGATGAGGCTGAGGGAGGGAGGGCTGAGAGGCGAGGCTTCTCAGCCATCCTGCAGGGACTTGTCCTGAGCTGCGGAGACAGCCGCGGGCCGCCGCCACCCAGAGCTCAGTTTTGAAGGTGCTCCTCAGCCCGGCACAGTTCCTGAATCTGCAGCTGAAACCCTCCGTTTTAAATGTCCCAATAGAAGAGAATATCTGTCGCTCAGGGTTGCAATGAGGAGGCATTGGCGCTCCCTGAACTTGGTGGTTTGCTGGCAGACGTTTTATTACCCGACTAGGTAACAACATCAGATGTTATCTAGTCAGGTAATGAAACGTCTGCAAGCAAACCACCAAACTCGGACTCCTCCCCCTCCCCCCCTCCTTGAAAAAGTGTCCCCCCCGACCCGGTCCTTGAAAAAGTGTTTCTGCATGAAACTGGTCCCTGGTACAAAAAAGGTTGGGGACCACTGGGATAAAGTTTTACTGCTAGAATGCAGTGCTTGCCTTTTGCCAAGCTTTTCATTCATTCAAGTCCAAGAGTTTTATTTTGGTTTCATCCATCCATAGAACATTCTTCCAATAGCTTTTAGGCTTATCCAAGTGGACTTACATAAACTATAGATGGGTAGCAATGTTCCATTTGGATACTGATGGAGTTCAAACTCTTTGAGTTTTGTAACCTTTTCTAAACTGGTGAACATTAATAACTATTTTTCATAGTCCATAGACATTTCCTCTATTTGAACCATGCCACATAGGAGTTAGATCCTGACCAGCTCAAAGTTGACCCATCCTTCCAAGGTTGGTAAAATGAAGACACAAATGGATGGGGGCAATACGCTGGCATTTGTAAACTGCTCAGAGTGCTGTACCATTATGGAACAGTATACTCATACAGTACTCATATTCAATTATCATCCCATTGATTGAAACACATGACTTTAACATCTCCTTCAGAAAAAAATTAAGTAATTACAGAGTTTCACATATGTTTGCACTACGCAAATATGTGGTTTTGGATCATTTTCTTCAATAAGTAAATGAACAAGTATATTTTTGATTCAATTTTTAATTGGGTTCTTTTTATCTAATTTTAGGCTTTGTATGGAAAACTGCTCACATTTTAGATAATATTTATGCAAAATATTGAAAATTTAAAAGGTTTCAAAAACTTTTAAGCACCACTGTATCTTCATCTTCCTTTGATTTTCATGGCAAAGGAAAATGGGGGAAGTTTTAAAAACTATCATTTTGCAGAGATTTTGAATGGGTCCAGAAATGAGATTAAATTTAACCCATAGGTTCCATATTTCCAATTTAAAGCTGCAAAAATCAAGAAAAAAGTCTAATAGTTAAGGAACCAGATAAAAAATAGGAGCTGTGAATTCATGTCCTGCCTTGGCCATAAAAACCGGCTGAGTAACTAAGGGCCAGTCATTGCCCTCTTGGTCCAACCCACCTCACAGGGCTTTTACTGTGGGGAAAATAGGAAGAGAAAGAGAAGGGTGTGTTGGATATGTTCACTGCCTTGAGTTATTTGCAAAAATAATAAAGGCAGGATACAGAAAAATAAATAAATAAGTCTTCAAAAGCAAACTAAGACCAGATGAAGCACTGGTTATACAAACTGATTAGGAAGTTAGAACAGCTTTCCCTTCCAGAAATGACTACAGCATTTTAGTGTTTTGATCTGGGAGCTAAAGTAAAGAAGGAAGACATCATACTGTGATATAACATCATGCATTTGTATAAACAATATGAATAAAGAACTTCCTCTCTTCAAGAAACAACCACTTAAAACAAAATATAGGTGGAAACAGATAAAAGAAGTATTTCTTTACCAAATGCACCATTAAACTACAGAAGTTGATGCCATAAAACATGGTGATAACTATCAAGACACTGGAGGATTTTTATTATTAATATTATTTAAATTTATATACTGCCTGACTCTCAGTAATTCTGGGACATTTACAAACTGTTTGCAACATTAAAAATAAAACACTGAAAACATCAAGAAACAAAAAAGGATAAGATTAGGATTATTAATAGTTAAATTAATAGCTGTATAATGAATCATAGCTGTAAAGTTACATGGTTATCATTTTCTTGTTCATGCTTATGAGCTTCCAAAAGAATCTGTTGGCCAATATGTAATGCTAAATACTGAAATAAAAGAGCTCTTCCTTTATAGGTAGTCCTCAGCTTATAACTATGGCCTTAGAAAAAGTGATTTATAACCCATTCCTTCAATTATGATTATCACATCAATTCCATGGTCACCTGATTGCAATTTGGGTATTTAGCGATTTGTGCTGGTTGCAATGTCTTATGTGATCATGATTTGTGACCTACCCAGTCAACTTTTGACAAGCAAAGACAATTGGGGGAGCTGGATTTGTGTGATTCACTTAACTGAAGTAAAATGGATCCAGTCACATGAGACTTGCTTAATGACCATGCTTAGCGATTGAAATTGTGACCGTAAGTTGAGGACTACCTGTATTATTCTTAATTGATAGTGCTGGGATAATGTTAGTATTCATTCCCATTTAACTGCCATATTCTGCACTACTCATATTTCCACCTACTTTATTGCATTGTTTTTAACATGTTCATAAAAATAAACAACACCTTAGCTAAACAGGCATAGCAACTTATTGGTTTCATTTGCACATCATGCAATAAAGACATATCCAAAAGCATCCTTCCCCACAAGCTACAGCTACTTAATTTAACAGGAGACACCAAGTTGTTGAAAAAGTGATTCATATAGTTTCCCTGACCTGATACACCATTATTAGGCAGTAGCAAAATTGTTTTATCTTGACTGAATTATTTTTGTTAAATATGCACACTCCTTTCCAGGGTAATTAATTCTGCAAAGCATAGAATAAGAATCAGAAATAGTAGTAGGATCAGAGATGTAACAGTTTCCATATAGGCTCCATACATGAGCATATTTCCTCATGTGAATGCAACAACTGAAACTATTTTTAATAAATCCTGAAGGTTTACCCACAATTTAAGATAGGAATATTTGATAACCTTCACTTAGGTTTACAGAAAACTGTAAAACTATTTTTGTTAGCCTCAATTCCAAGGTTATATTGACATTTACAACCGCCTCTTAAAATGCCTTTTAAGAACAGTGTAAAAAATTTTGTAGTACAACTTTCCAAGATTTTTGGAAACCATTTAAATAATCTTCTTCCAATATAGTTGAGTCACTGATTCTCCTTTAGTGTACACTTCCTCACTGTAGCCTTTTTCCTTGCCACTCTTTCCAATGCCACAAAAATATTAAAATTAAGCAGTTTGTGTTTTCCAGTTTTCAACTAATTTGAATAGAAAGTAAACTTGAGATCAATATAAAAGTCAAATATTGATTTTAAAAGGTGTCTGGCTCATCCATAGCAATGATTACATGGAATCTCTGCATATTTGTACAATACTTAACATTGGAGAATGATATAAAGCATATAATCAACTACCATTCATACACTATAAATAAGGAATAAGCACTTGTAAGGTAGAAC